AATACAACCCGTCCTGTACTCCTGTACCTACTCTGCAGATAGCAGAGGGTCAAGTAAAGGGAGTGCTTTGGTTTTTCAGCTCAGTCCTCGTTGGTGCCTGGTAGCGCTCGGTGAGCTCCTTCTTTTCACCTAAAGGGAAGAGAATGTGTCAAGCTTTCATCCACTTAATGCTCTCTGCAGTTTGCATTCCATTCCTGTTTAGTGCACGCCACTACTTCAAGTCTAAGCAGATATTGTTGGTCTGAAAGAGGGAGAGAGTAAAAGAGGAGGGGGGGGGAGGTGGAGGAGGGAGGGCTGGAGGGTCAAGGTGGTTGGGAATTCATCTTATGAAGGGTTTCTGCGAGAGCCTGTGCACTGCTTGCTTGAAAGGTCACAAGTGAATGTTTGACTCCATTGATTGAATGAGCAATACAGCGTGCTGCCTTTTTTTTTTTTTTTTTTTCAGCTTTTCACCTTTCCATGTTTGCCGATCACACGCTCTGCTGGGGACAAAAGCAGATCGGTTGCGTGAGCTCAGGAGATGCTTTAAATGCTAAAACCTCTGCAGCCTCTTGCAGAAAAACAGTGAAACATATCTCCATGAGAGAGCAGAACTCCTGTGAGACCAAGTGAAGTGTCTTGTATGAGCTTGGTCCAGCGTTTTATTTTCTGTTACACACATGGCTATCCCTTCAAGATGTTTCTCACAGATCGTCCTGCAGCTGCATCAGTGGGTTTATTAGCAGAGTGGGCGAACCGAGTCCCCCCACAGGATTCTTCTCACACTGCCTCTGACAGGCTTTGGCTGTCACAGAGATGCAACAAGAATGGGAATGCCAGAGTGTGGGTTTGTAATAGTGCATGAGAGTGTAGGTGGATGTTAGCATGCGCTACCTCATGTGTGTTTTAGGAAGGCATTTCATTTTTGAGTCCCAATGTTGCAATAAAAAAACACATCTATTTTAATCTGATAAACTTAAAAATGTGCCTTATTTTCTGTGAATCTGACGAAAAACGTTTCTGCTGCTGCACTCAGACATCCAGTCTGTGCCAAAATGTTCCCACAATTACACAATTCCTTCCTGATTTAGTAACATTTTCTTTAAACTATAGTGTATTAATTGGAACGTTTTAAAAAAATAGACTTCTGTGGGATTTATTGACAAATTTCTGTTTTGGCCAGTTGTACTTTTTTAAAAAGATTCAACACCAAGAAGAGTTATTCAAATGTAAAACCAAACACTCTTCACTCTTTGATTGTAAATCTGAGACTCATTTTCAGACAAACGGATTTGCATGTAGAAATGAATGAAAATGAACGGCATCTTGAAAGGTCAGAAATCTGAAAGTGGATGGAATATAAACACAATTTTCAGTCAACATTTATGAGCTGAAACATGCCAAAACAATTTTACATGGTCCATGTAACCGTGCATTCATATTGGGAATAACTTGGTAGAAGACTCTTGATACGTGAGAGCTGTGAGTGATGCAAAATGTTGCATCAGTGGTCTTGGGCTTTTAGGATCTGGTCTTGAAGTTCAGTTCTTATATTGTATATTTAATTGGCCCTGCTTCAATCTGTGCTATGACCTCAACATACTGTTTTATGAAGTTGCCAGATTAAAAAAGGGAAAAAGTACAGCAGAGCGGTTAAATGGACAAAAGGAGGATGCCACATTAGTTATGACATCATTAATCTCAGTATCGAGCTATGAATGTAAAACTCTGCATAAAATGTTTCACTTGGTTTGATCTCACAAATTCAGATAAAAAGGAAAATGGACAATGGACAAAGCCATTCTTAAGAATTATTTGGAAGATTTTCTTTGTGTGTGGTTGTCTAATAAAACCTGTGGAGAATTAGGAACCTTTTAATGGCTGTAATCCGTTTCTCATCCTTCTGGGAAACAAAGAAGCATGTAAATCTGATTGGCTGTTAATGACCTGTGACTGTAAAAAGGGAAAAGAAAAAGAAGAAATGGGCTCACCATATGAAAGAGCGTAATGAGGAGCTGGTATTTTTTTGGAAGCATGGATGAAAGCAAGTCTCCAGCTGCAAGATTAAACCACAGCTGATGGTAGTACCAATTTGGAAGGATCTTGGCCCAGTTTGTTTCCTTCTGACCAATCTTTCCACACAGGGATCTGTTTTTCTACCAATGCTTTTCAATTCTACTCGGAAGAAAAATGCTGTATTTTTTCTTGGTGTTTTTTTAAAGAACAGCTGGGGAAACTTAAGGATGTCAACAGGCTTTGGTTCAGTCTCACCTGTCACTCATTATCCACTGAATCTGTTCCCCCCCCTTTTTGCAGAGCTGCTACTACTTTGTCTCACAGGGTAAACATTGTGCATTGTAAGCAGCGTAATTCATAAACAAACATTGGAATTCCTTTGGCAGGAATGTGTGCGCATGTGTGCATGATATTTATGTGTATGTGTGCATGCCTCATTTTTTTCAAGTATATGAATGGTTGCCATATGCCCCTCTGAAAATTGCAAGAAGTTACTGGAGCGAGGAGAACTTCTAAGGCCTCTGTCCTCTGGGTGGGGTAAAGTTCAAAGAATAACTGCCTTGGTCAAGACCTTTTTCTCGAGGGAAAGATAACCTTAACACAACAGACATGTCTCAACTTCTAGACTGGGAGTGATGGACTCCAGAGACTTTTGAGCAAGAGTGTAGCAGAGTAAGCAAGCACATTCATTAATAGATTCTCCTTTTGTGTAGGGGCTGGTCATTGTCGACAAGCCTACTTATGTGTTAGCTTAAAGACCAGGTGCAAACTTGGACTTGTCTATCAAAGGCTACTCTCTTTTTTCTGACCTTTTGGTGGGTTTGGCTCTGATGGCACCAAGCGTGTCCAGATGATACCGCGTCCCAAGGGAGTGGGAAGCAGGAGATGATCACACCAATAGTTGGCCGGTCGGCACCACTGAAAAGAATTTAGTTAGTCAGCAGTTTCCTTTTGAAAATGGCCCAGGATTGTTGTTGTAAGGGTGTTCAGTCAGGGGAGAAAGGATTTGGGGGGGTAGATCAAGTTATTTATTAGCTGGAGCCATTTAAATGGGAAAACTACCATGACAGAGTGTGGTGGAAATACAAACTGGCAGGTCATGCCAACTGGAAATGCCAGGGGTGGCATCCTGCCACAGTCGGATCTAAACTTAAAGCCAGAGTCTGGGCAGTCAGGACGCTGAGATGGTGAGAGCAGAGATAATAAACCCACATTACGTTCCAGTCTGGCCGGCAGAGAGAACTTTATCAAGATGATCAGATATGAGAGCGGCGGGCTAAGCTTAGTGTCTCCTCATTGAGAGTGTAAGATGTGTCTATCAGGTGTCTGCGTGAGGAGGAAGTCCTGTCTTTGAGGGGTTTTTAGACAGATTGTCTTTAGATTATGTTGAGATCGAATCAGCACTCAAATAATCCTGTAGGATATTCATACATCATTCCTCCACGCTGCTCAGTAATATGAGGGGAGTTAAAAGAAAGTGGAGAAAATGTCATGTTCATTATTATGGTGCATGAAGGTGCAATGGAGTTGTTTTGGTACGAGTCCCAAAATTACATCAACTCCAAATATTATCATATTGTCTTATGGTCCAGACAAGAGGATTTATTAACCAGTTAACCAAAAGCACCTCTGTGGCTCAGCCATAGACTGTATAAGATATGGATGTATTTGCAGTGATGTCACTCATTGGTTTCTGTAGCACCATGTCAGAAAAACTGTCGCAAACCAACTTGAGGTGGGGGCCTTAGTCCTCGTGGCAATCAGCTACAACGTGCCCACTGGCCAGTCAGATCAGCCAAAGCACTAGTTTTACACAGTTCTTATCTTTTAATTTTAAAAACATGAGTTAGAAAAAAAAATTGACTATTCAGACCAAAACACTTTTTGTACCAGGCTGTAAATATGTTTATTTTTTGTATCAATGGGCAGATCTACATGGGTGTTAATGGGAATCCTGGTGCTTTATCGAGCCAGCCTCAAGGGGACACTGGAGGATCTGCACTTTTTTTGCACTTCCGCCCTGGCTTCATTTTCCAACACCAGTGGTTGCTGTTTGGACTGAGAATCACTGAGCCCACAGCTATAGGCTGTACATTTGTTTCATTTCACATTTCAGCAGCCAATTGCTCAAATCCAGTTAAATGCAAGAACTTTGACGGATCAAAACATAAGCAAGCGTTTTCTGACTTGGTGTTTTGGATTCCTTGGGTTGGGTACCAAGAAATTATAAAAACCCTTATGCTCTCTATGTGTTTAAATCTGTGAACCATAACCTAACAGTGAGCTGGAGCCAAGCATTGTCTCTCCAGTTACACCCCTGCTATTGATTAATTCATATAACATGCTGAATTAGACGATGATCACATTATTTAAATCACCTTTTCCTCTGAGGTGCTGCTTTATTGGACAGGTTTATACTGCTGCTCTAGGTGACATAATGCTGCTTTAGGTGACATAATGTTTCCATGATAGACTCCTTCCTAATTCCAGTGAAAGAGCTGATTGGAAAGGATTGGTTGTGGAATGCTGGATATTTTTTTCTTTTCACCCGAGGGGGACGGAGTTTAAAGCATACTTAAACAGATTTGTGTCATTCTGATCTCGGCTTCCCTCTGGCTTTGAGAGTGTTTTGAAGAGCGTGTGTGCATTTTCGCATGTGCTTAAGTGTGTATTCATATGTGGGACACTGCAGTCAGCTGTGCATGTCTTTGGACAACTTAACTTGGCAGTTAAGGCTTGAAATGAAAATAGTGGAGTTCCTTTGACAAATGTGCAGCAAAAAAAGCAATGAATGGCCTCTTTACATTAACTTTTATTTGCACGTGAGCCTTTGAGAGGGCCTCTAAGAGATAATGAATGGTAAAAGTAAACACATCACAATGCCCCGTTTCCTGTCTCAGCTTTTGTTTTCCCTCCACCCTTCCAGGGTTCATGTGTAGCACTGGGTGTAGCCTTTCTCCGCGGAGACTTCAACCCCTATAAATCTCTCTGTCTGTTTGTTGCAGGTGACTCAGGCCTCCAAGGTGTGGGGAGAGGTCCCTCTGCCAGAGGACTTGGAGGCGGAGAAAGATGTCCAGGCGGGTCGGAGCTTACTGGACGACGACGAGGACTTTGCCGCTGATGAAGCTTCAGGAGGTGGGCTTGTTTGAGGGCGGATTACCGCAAACCACAGCGACAGCTGCACTTAATTCACGGGAGATGTTTTTCATTAAGCATCACTTGGATTGTAAACTCATTCCAAAGCTCTAAAATGAGAGACCATCGGCTCAGAAATGTGATATGAGTTACTTGTTTGATGTTTTCTTTTCTATATATGAAAACTTACCTGCACAATTTATAATTTGTTTTTGATAAATTTAGCTCATATGTAATTATGCCGCATGTCTTCCCTCGCTCTCTCCTCCAAAAATGTCCTGCCTCTCTTCTGCTGTCCTATCTATTTAATGCAAAAAGGCCCAAAAAGGTTAAAAAAAAAAGGAGGTTTATGTGAGTTATTATGTGAACGAGCAGAGGCTTCACTTAGATGAAAGTTGCTGTTGTCCTGGTGAAGCAAATCAAAGCATCTTAAGTACCTTTATTCTTTACTCTAGATTCAGATCAACCAGTCTATGGTTTAGATGTCTCAAAACAGCTCAGTGAAATGTATATTGTATAGTTATATCTTTTGTCTTTCTTCAAAGATTTGCCCAGTGGAGAGGATGATGGGAGCACGCCATGGCCTCCAGTCTCTGAGACAACAAGTAAGGGAACAAGAGATCATGATTATCTAACACATTGCTGTTTACTGTGTTTACTGTGTTAATGTGTGGTGGAGCAATCAGCATTCTTAATCTCCCTAATCAGTGACTTAAACCTCTAGCTGCATGTATGTGTGTGTGTGTGTGTGTGTGTGTGTGTGTGTGTGTGTGTGTGTGTGTGTGTTGTGTCTGAATTATGATGCCTTCACATCCTGCTACACCCTCCTGGTCCTGGTCATAACACACTTTTTCAGCTTCGCCTCTGAGACGTAAACATCTCCTCTCCGCCTCTTTCATCTTTTTGAACCAGGCGGCGGTGACAGCACAATAAGATACGCGAAAGCAAGATGAACAGTAAAAGCTGCAGCGGAGCGCCTCTGTTTTTGCCGTCCATTCACTGCTGCACTTTTAACGTCCTCCTCAATTTTTTGGTAGACTTGAAAAGTATTAATATTCAGGCAACCCACTTTATCACATTGCACAGGAGCAGGGGGGAACAAATTAAGTGATGTATTAAACGTTGCATGATTGGGTCTTGCTCTTAAATCATGCATGATGCTGCTTTTTTACGCTTCAGTTCTTGGTCCATCTTTCTTGTTTTAGATGTGATTAGCTGTTTTTATATTGCAGACAACAAAGCTGCAGACAACTATGAGTTACTGTCAGTATCCTTTCCACTGAATATTTCTGCATGCTGCTCTGCCTAAGCCGCCAATGATGCCTCACAGATATCCACTGGTAGTATTTAAATAGCTGCATGTTAGCTTGAGTCTGTAAAAACTGACAGTGTAGGTCTATCTCCAATCTCCTTGATGTTGCCATCACGATGAACACCACTAAAGTGAACTTTTTGGGGAAAACCATGGATGTGTTATCTTGGCCTGGATACTGGACCTAAAAGACTGCTTCTATTCAGTCCAGCAAGAATAACTTGCCCGGACCCTTCACGAAAAACCTTCTAGTTTCCAGGTTTACTTGGGAGGTATGCAGCTCGCTGAATATATGCACAATGGTGTTGGTCACAATGACTCTGACCGTGAGTTCCTGCTTGGTGCTCAGACTATAAACTGGGATGATGTCATAGATTCTGGCCAGCAGAAAAGAGCATAAAGCAGCTTCATTACTTGCATGAAGACCACACCTCTTTTGCACCACTGACATAATATCAAGGTCGTCAACCTAGCCCACTTGCTCGCAGTTAATTTACCTGACTATTACCTGCTTCATTCACACATCAGCTAACTTAACTCTTGCATACTTTTGGGGAAAGTTTCAGGAATGCAGTCCAGTGTGAAAGGAGCTATAGAGAAAACACTTATCACTGACTATGCTGAGTGACCAATGGAAGTCTTCCAGTCCCAATATAGTACCTCTTCAGACCGCGATGTAGAAATATATTTCAGAAAGGGGTTATTATTGTGAATCTAAAACACCTTACCCCTTAACACACAACTAAAAACACACCAAGCATCTTCAAAAACACCCTACATCTATGTGCTATATCTCTCTGTGTATTCTAAATACAATTTCTTTTTCAATGTATCTTAACCATTGTAAGGGCAATCTCAACATTAATAATATATTACCTGTCTTCCCCATCCTGCAGGAAATGAATTTGCCAAAGCAATTAAATGCTAATATCCTGATAGGTCACATCATTTCCCTTCTTATTATAGGCAGAGTTCTGTTAATGGTTGCTGCTTCTTAGTTTGCCCGGTGCCAGACGCTGGCCTTGACAGGTTAGTGGAGCTGATTACATCATGGTGAAATAATTGTTTCGGTAGCGTCACTTTGAGCTGACATCAGAGCTGCGGCATATAGCATCATGCGCTCCACTGTCAGAAATAGCACTGCTGTGAGGCCTCACTGCATTAAGGTAGTGAAAGGAGCCAGGCGACATTATTGTGTTGGTTGTTGACGGCATGCGATTGTGACAGGTTGAAATGAAGGTTGAGTCTGTTTTTAGGTACCGGTTCAAAGATAGATTGATTTATGGCATACTAGTAAGGAGGTGTGTTTTTCTTTCATACACAGCTTTGCAGATTGAAAGTTTTGTGTCAGCCTCCTGCAGCAATATTAAGGATATTATGAAGTGTGTGTTTCTTCTTTTGCACTGTAGCCCCCAGGTCAGACTCAGTTTGTCAGTTATAGATGCACAAAAAGTTCTGAAAGTCAAAGAAAAACAAAAGCCAGTTTGTTCTTTGTTGTCAGCACAGGATGGGAATATATTTTGTTAATGTTCTCACAATTTGTGGTGCGACATGAGCCTCCAAACATCCCCTCCATTAGCTTGGTTTATTGCTTCTATTTCCATAAACTTCCCGCCTTTTGTAGCCACATAAAGGTCAGCTCTGCTTTATTGCAAACAATTAAACAGTTTGAGGTGGGGATTATGCTTGGCTGTCGTTAATATATTGTCTTTTCGCCATTTGCATTGTGCTCAGTGTGATCATGGTTCTGTGTCCGGAGGAGGCGAGCTATTTCCATTTCTGAGCACGACAGCAATGGGAAGGAAATTCCGTTTCCTGTGCTGAATGTGGAATACTTTTTGGACTGTCTTTGTCCTGTTGTCCAGACAGACACTTCACCCAAGCCCCTGCCTGCCTGCCTTCCTTCCACCCTGGACTGCTTTAAAGTTGGAGATGTGCAGTTGCCACCATTATGCCTCATATCCTGTTGTGTTAGTTTAAAAAGAATTCCCATTTCCTGATGTCTCAGCCGCGTAGATTGAAGCTCTAAAACATCTGGAGCCTAAACTGTTGTCAAAAAGAGGCTATTTTAAACCTTTTTATCCATTGTTGTAGTTTGTTGCCTCCTTATCATAGTCTGACATCTTCTCTAGAGATACCGAGGTTGCGTCCCATGTCCTGCTAACCTCCCATCCTGACCTACACACTCATATCCCTGCAGAGATTTCTGGGAGACAAACTCCAGCTTATCTCTCTGAGAGCATTTCCTTGTTCTGCTGGCTTCTTTACAGGCTTTCCCATTGCACCCTGGGTATAACCCACTTTGTTTGGAAACCAAAGAAACAAAGGTTAGCAAGTCCACTTAGCAATAGGGATGGTTGCTGAAGGGTCTGCCGGGAGTTAAATTGTTCCCACCGCTAATTTTGGATGAAATGTTTGAGAATTCATATCTCAAGGCTAGTGGTTCCCAAAGTTGGAAATCAGTGAGCTGCGAGATTTCTTTCTGAGTTTGAACTTATTGTATATTTTTTATGTTTTACTGTGCTGAGAAAATGTTGTTGATATATTTGATTGTCGTCAACTTATCAAAAACAAGAATCGGTACAACTCCAAGTTGGTCTGGTTGGTGTAGGAGAGAGTTATCAAAGTAACATAAAACTACATGAGAGCATCAAGAAGCAATTCATGCAGCATCGTAATCTTTTACAGAATAATGTGAGGACTTTGATGCACATTATTTCAGTCCTGCCACAAGGAGTCCGTCAATCAAAACGATAAAAAGACGTAGTTTGACGACCTTGCAAAAAAAAAAGCTTGGAATCGTCTTAGTTTTATGCTAGTTGGTTTATTTACATGAATTAAAATTGTATAAAATCTTCATAATGACAGGTTAAAGGCTTACTGATGGACATTCATATCAGATTTTCAGACCAGATTCTCTCTTTGGACACGCCGTCTTCGTCTCCCCTCCTTTCTCCCCACTACCCCCACCCATCCCTTTCTGTTTCACGTCTTGGTTGCCAGTTCTCATAGAAAACTAAACACCCTTTGGGGCTTGTTAGTTTCCGAGATACGCAGAACTAAAAGGGAGCTAACGTCAGAACTAGTAATAAAACGATTTTTCAGTGTAAACAGACTGCAAAGAGATGCTAATACATCTCAATCCTAAACACAAACCTCAGGGCCAAATAAACTGCTGCTCTCTGTGTCTTTGAACAGAGATCATTTTAACATTAAACATTACATATTTGGTCAGATACCAAGCTAGCAAGGAGAAGAATATTTAGTGACATAAACTAAGTCAGCGCTCATTGACATGTTGATTTGAGATTAAACATGAAGCTTGGGAGTTTTCTCAGTCCATTCGAGGAAAGGCTAAGTAGGGATATAAGTCCTGTGTTTAGTCTTCAGAGAAAATTGGCTTCAACTTTGTGCCGTCCTTGATCTACAAGGACCGGAGTAAAGCTGACTCACTGACAGGTTACTGCATTCTTGTGTCGCCTCAGCTGGCCTGGACTCCTAATCGCATCAGTTGCTAGCTGAGAAAACACAATCCACACACGTATTCTTGCGTTGTCTTTGGAGGAGAGCAGATGTTGCAGTAGAGGTGGTCCATACATCAGGGTAATGTTGCCTGTCCATCAGTTTGGTCAGGGGGCGGTGGGCAGGGCCACCCATGTGGTATTTCTTCATGGGGCAGTTTGTGAGATATCGCTGGCACTAAGTGAGTGTGTGTGTGTGTGTTTGTGTGTCCCCCTGTGTGTCATATACTCCCACAGGGACAAGTCCTGGCAGCTGCAGTTATTTTGGTGAGGTCTTTGTTGTTTCTCTGCTGGGGGCCCTCAAGGTTGTCACACATTGGCCCTAGCATATAGGAGGAACGTGCCTCTCGTTATCACTCCTTTTTGTAAGGAAGGCGGTTGTAGCAGAGCAGACTAAACACCAGAGCTGTGAAGTTGAAGGGCATGTTTGTTTAAATCTGCCACCGATATTTGTCTCCTTTCACAAACAGATAATTGACAGTGTGTCTAAGGGTTGTCATGATTTGACAGACTGCTGATTTGACTTGAGCCCTTTCCACACATGCACTCCTGAAAGTTCTAGAAAACTTTCAGTCAGCTTGCCCCTAAGATCTTGCTGAGTCGCTCTTTCACACACATCCCTCACTTTGGTATAAATATTTCCTGTCGGCCGGGAGGAGATGGGGGTCTCCAAAGGCAATACGCAACATAAAAGATGCCATGAATGTAGCGGATGGAGGCATCAGAGTTTCTGTCAAAGCTTCCTGTGATTGGACGTAGTCACAGTTTCAAC